TTATCAGTAGGCCAGACAGCACAGTCAGTATTGATACTACATACGACAACTTCATTCATGAACTTGATTGCGCAATGACTAGTTCCTAAAACCAAACCTAGTCGCACAAATAAACCACCTACCACTTGGTGGAATGACGAATGTCAGAAAGTTATACAAAACAAAAAGGAGGCTTTAAAAAAACTGAGAAAAACTAGTCTCCCATCTGATCTAATAAACTACAAAAGAGCCTGTGCTATTCCTAAGAAAACCATCAAAGAAAAAGAAAAGACTGTGAACAATTTTGCAACGACCTTAGGCCCTAAGCCGAGAACTAATACTAGACTTATTTGGAACAAAGTTAAACGTATTGACCCTTCTCACAAAAAGACCAACATTCCAGTCATTAATTATGATGGTAAAAACCCTGTCACAGACAAAGATAATGAATCTCACACAGTTATTAGGGCAGAAACATTTCTCCCATCCAATCCTAAAATACACCGATAATTGTATTGTCAATATCTAACTTCTCCCTTTAGGGGTGCACCACTGCAAATAAATTCCCAAACACAACAATGATAAATCCCCACACTTCGCAATTATTTTAAAAATACAACTCTCACAGGTGTCCAGGTTGCACAGAAACACGATGATCGACATGTCTTCTTTCATTTTCCTTTCAATTTTCGGGTGGTTAACAAATGAATTTTTGAGAAATTTTCACGAGAAGCAGACTACCCTTAAAATGAAGAAAATGTCCCTGCCCAGAAAAGTTACCATTTTGAAAAACATCCCTCTGCAAAACGGCCAAATAGTGCCACTTTCGGACCCTACTGCACCCAAATTGCTCAGAATTGGAAGCCCAAAGTCGGGGCCAGAGGTTCAGTGCCATATTTCTCCAATTCCTCAATTTCAGGGTTCTCAGGACTCTCTAATATAGAATATTGTGAGTGTATAACTTTTATTAATGAGCTTGGCGGACATTTTCCGGGCCTTTTCGCGAGGGTGCGCCCTTAAAGTGTTTATTCTTCTTTGATTTTGAGATTATTGCGCATGTGCGGGAGAGTGGGTGCCGATGGTTGGCTGGACACATTAGTGTTGCCTTTCATCACCTGAAGGTGTTGCGGACCTGCGAAGAACCCGGCGGGGCCCCGGGCCCTTAAACTGCACGGTACACGTTCCGACCTTGCAGGGCACCAGCGACACTGCATGTTCAGAGGATCATTGGCATTCTCTCTTCTCTTGCTCACATGTTAATTCCGTTCTCTTGTAGCATTTTTTAATGTCCTTGTCTTTTTCTTTCCGGCTCTCATAATATCCACTCTTTACTGTCTGATCAAGTGTCTTTAGCTATTTGAATTTTTAGCTGTACTACCACACGGCAGTCAGTCCCATGTGCCGCAGTAGTTCCAGCGCCGTCCTGGTCAGATGAGTTGCCGTATGGTTTTAAGGCTTTACTGCTCCCACCGGGGAGAACTGCCAGGCCCTAACCGTTATTAAGCGACTTACCGGGGGATCTTCCGACTTAATATAAATCATCTGGGGACGAGTTTATCAATGTTTATACGGGGAACCCCATCCACGGGGCGGTAGTCTTACCGGGGGATTTGGTGGATGTAAAACAAGTTGTGCCCGCAGCTTACACATGTATAGGGATCACGACCTGTATTGGACCAAGATCTGACTAGGAGATTGCCTGGGCCTTGGTGAAGGTCGCATCATAAGTAGCGCCTGGAGAGGTGTGAACAATAATAAAACCAGAGTCACCTTAGGCAGACGTGTCGTTTTGTGTCTGTTGTGCCCGTGTGTCCCAAGCTGTCCTCTACCCCAGTGCGCGCCTGTGCTGCTCTCCTGCTGCACCTGGCAGTAGACTGCCCCAAAACGGGCTTGCTCCCTTGGCTGCCTCAGACTAGACCGCACTGACGTCGGTCGAGGACGACCTGGGGGTTGGGTCGGCACGACCGCCACAATATTGATTTCAGGAGTCAACGCACCCGATTAGGAACAAAAACGGGGAAAATCGCTTTCTGGGCTGATGTCTGTTTTGAAACGAGCCTGTGGGCCGAATCATTGGGGGCGCTAATTAAGTGTGCCCAGGAGTCCCCCTACACATTCCTTTAGAGAAAATCACACTTTTTTTAAATCTAGGATGGTACAAAATCGTTTGAAAACTGACATCAGCCCAACCAGAAAGCAATTTTCCCCGTTTTTGTTCCTAATCGGGTGCGTTGACTCCTGAAATCAATTGAGCTGAGACAGCCTGTGGGCCGAATCATTCGGGGCGCGAATTAAGTGTGCCCAGGGGTCCCCCCTACACATTCCTTTAAGTGGACATCTCCCCAGGGTTTTGTTCCGAATCCTTTGATCTTGTTCCGAAATTGTCATTAAAGAAGTTCTTATTCGCCGTTTTGAGAATTGAGGCCTGTGCGTATGTTATTGAGCGATTTTGATTTTTGCATTTTGGCGTTTATATCTCTGCTATTAAACTCCATGCTTCTTTACAAACCACCGAATTCATGTGCCACCAACTTCCTTAATACGAATTCGGTTCGCGAAGGCATTATTGTGGGGTCGTCGTACTGTCTGTACTACCGCCCTCATCCATTTTCCGCGAAGGCTTTAGTGTGTTTTCGTACACATTCCGGTCTGTTTTTTCCTGTTGGTGAAAAAAAAAATCTCGGTTGTTCACGTTGTTTCATAGCTGAGATACATTCCAGCGAAGGATTCATGTAAACATTGCCTTTTTCTGTAATTTGTTTGTGGACGTTTATGGGCTCTTTCTGTTATGCCGTGATCGGCCTCCGTAGAGTTTCTAGCCGGTTACGTGAACAATTGGTTGCAGCCGTAAAAATAGCGTCCGGCCCGAATTTCGCGCCAATTTCAGCCTAGTATAAACGTATGCATATATATGACAACGTACAGAGTAAGCCGAGTGCACAGCAGGCGGGCTATACAGTGCTACATGTACTTGTGCTAGCTACATGTTTAACTTAGTAAAGAAGTGCGAAAATGGAATAGGCCTATGACCAGAACCAGAAGGTAGGAAATCTCATAAATTTTTTATGTGAAAAGTTTGGAGCCGGAAGCGGAGCCGGACAAAACGGATTTTGTTTTCGTTGTTAATATTAGCTAACTTATTCCTTTTAACACAGTTTCAGCCCAGCCGTACGCTGTGCATGCGCCAGTGTTTGACATCCAACCAGGGCTAGGGGTCCAGTCCACTAATTCAAGCCTC